TTTTTTCGTTTACTGAAAATTGAGGTAACCAATTAGTAAAGATATGAGGCATTTTTTTTTAAAAAATTTTTTATAAAAATTTTTAAAAAATTTGAAAATTATAATTCTTTGCTATTTTCCTCATTCCTTCTTTCTTTCTTTAAATTACTTTCCCTTTAACTACTACTAAGTTTCAAAATCAAAATATGATAACACTTGGAACAGTTGTTAATTCATGATCTGGTTCTCCAAATAAAGAACTTGAAATTTGCCCGACTACTTTGACCAATGTGCTTCACTGCCTGAGGTCAGCCTGCTGGCAATTCCGACATTCGTCCCTTCTCCAGAGATTACCAGCTTAACATTTCTTTTGACAAAAGCATTCGACAAGACTTTCATCGTTTTGAAATATCCTTGGTCTGTGACAAGCACCAATACCTCGTTACGAATGTTGCTACTCCTAGACCACAACAGAACACCTCATGTACTAGGAGGGAATGAGGAAGAGAACTGAGCAATGCCTAGGAAGATGCATCGGACGCACACACACACACACATACATACATACATACATACATACATAACAAACATACATACATACATACATACATACATACATACATACATACATACATACATACATACATATACAACATACATACATACATACATACATACATACATACATACATACATACATACATACATACATAAATACACACACGCACACAAATATGCACACAGACAATCCCGTGACAATACGCGTTTTATGCAGCTGCTGCATAGCACAAAACGCATAAAAATGTAAATATCAGATGATACTTCAAAAAAATCAGTTACGGCACAAGATTCTGTCAGAATTTTGGTGTACAAAAACGCCTCGGGGTCGAAGGAGGGAGGGAGGGGGCGAAAGGAGGAGGGGGAGAGGACAATTATCAAAACCCGGCTTTATCGTGCAAAATGCACTCGCCAGGGGGTTTGTGAAACTTAGGAAAATCATAATCGTATGTAAGGGATGGGTTTTTTCTCTTAAGCATAAGCTTACCCGCTTTCACTCTGCATTTAATTTCATCCTTAAGCGCCAACCGAGAAACCCCTCCCCCCTACCCCCTCTTCCTGTCCCCCCATAATTTCCCCTTTTTCCGTAGTTTTTACCTCCAGCCAAGGCTACACCCCCTTCCAATCAACATCCTACCTTCTCTTCCTTTATCACAACCCCTAGGACCTAAAACACCACCCCCC